CACATCTTCAATTTTTTTTCAATAAATATTAACCTACTCACATATATGGGACCCATGTCGGATGTGTTTGGTACAAGTGAGACAATTGCCAATCCTAATACAGACCAGAACAAAAAATGCCAGATTACAAATTGTAATATTTTTTTGGTATATTTCATAAATTTTTAGATAAAATAAATTTGTACAGGCCTCTAAGCATCACAATTGCAATATTTGGCGTTATTTAAATTCTGCATTGAAATATGGCTAACTTTGTTTGAATTTTCTAAACTCCTCAATATTTCTTTTTTTTTTCACTGCCTTTTTCACATTGTCCTCTCACTGTGGTTGGAAGTGCAGTTCAATAAGGAAATGTTATTACGAGAGCAATGTATTTTGTAATGTGTATTAAGAAAAAATATAACTAAAAACCTAATGCCGTCTCCAAGTATTTATGTGAATGATAGTAGTTTGTGTGTGTGATATAGGCTAGATATAGGCCTACCCAGCTTAATATTTACTTTGATGTTCAGGAGAGCATAAAAATGATCTGCATTGAAAGTGTATTAAAATCTAAACCTGAATTACCAAACTTGCAGAATTTTTGTTTGATGAATATAGCACAGGAATCTATTTAAAACAATTCCTGGAGATTACATGATCATATTCCATGTAATTGCATCAAACACTACCCTGTGGAAATTGTGTATGAAGGTAACAAGCTTTTGTGAAAAAAGAAAAATTTTGTGGTTTGCCCTTAACCCTGCTTTGTTTACTGTCGTAGCTAATTGGCCAAGCCCCACCATTCACAAGACTTGTGATCGGTAATGTGATAATGCATTTGAAAGATTAAACTAGAATATCAAAATTTTAATGTATGCTGATGTTTGATATGGCAGTTTCAACTTGGCGCAAGTCTTTCCTTCAATTCAGTTTTTGGTAAACTGGATGGTCGAGGCGAATCAAATGTATTGATAGTGTACAAGGTTCGTTAGTCCTCGATTTCCCCCTCCCTGCGAAGCATGTGGAACCAAACTACATTGCATACTTTATCCCAGGCACTTGGCTCACTTATATACATTCTATATTTCATTCCAGGCACTTGGCTCCCCACATGCATTCTATATTTCATTCCAGGCACTTGGCTCCCCACATGCATTGTATATTTCATTCCAGGTACTTGCCTCCCCACATGCATTGAATATTTCATCCCGGCACTTGGCTCCCCACATGCATTGTATATTTCATTCCCGGCACTTGGCTCACCCACATACATTGTATATTTCATTCCCGGCACTTGGCTCCCCACATGCATTGTATATTTCATTCCCGGCACTTGGCTCCCCACATGCATTGTATATTTTATTCCAGGCACTTTGCTCCCCACATGCATTGTACATTTCATTCCAGGCACTTGGCTCCCCACATGCATTGTATATTTCATT